ACGTGGATGGAACTGGAGGGTATTATGTTGAGCGAAATAAGTCAAACAGAGAAAGACATGTATCATATGATCTCACTGATATGAGGAATTCTTAATTGCAGGAAACAAACTGAGGGTTGCTGGAGTGGAGGGTGGGGTGGGAGGGATGGGGTGACTCGGTGATAGACACTGGGGAGGGTATGTGCTCTGGTAAGTGCTGTGAATTGTGCAAGACTGTTGAATCTCAGATCTGTACCTCTGAAACAAATAATGCAATATATGTTAAGAAAAAAAAAAAAAAGAAGAAGAAGATAGCGGAAGGGGAAGAATGAAGCAGGGGAAATCAGAGGGGTGGACGAACCATGAGAGACGATGGACTCTGAGAGACGAACTGAGGGTTCTAGAGGGGAGGGGGGTGGGAGGATGGGTTGGCCTGGTGGTGGGTATTGAGGAGGGCACGTTCTGCATGGAGCACTGGGTGTTATGCACAAACAATGAATCATGGAACACTACATCTAAAACTAATGATGTAATGTATGGGGATTAACATAAGAATAACAAAATAAAAACAAACAAACAAAAAAACAATGCGTGTCTGACTCATGCAGACTTCAAGGTCCTATTTCTTGGTGCCAACTTCACTGGGGATGACACCCTTCGGTCGACTGAGGAACTGAAAGTAATTAATTATCAAGAGGTAAGTATGCGATCACCAAGAGTGGCTTCTTGAGCAATGAAGTTAGGTGCAGGTGCTTGTCATCTCAGATTAACTGGGGTCTCTAGGAACGTAGCCCAAGTTTCCATAATACTCTTTGTAACTCATAGCAACCCTAGGCAATTGTCTAGATGGAACTTCGGATAGGCTCTGAAGTGCTTTATAAGGATGCAGCTCATTATATCAAAGTCCATCTTTATTCCTTTTCCCATGAGACCAGTGGAAACATTCCTCCCTCTTTTGGGTGGAAGGAAGTCATTGGAAGGGAGGTTTCCCAGAGGCATCACATGGCAGTGAAGCTCCGCTCTTTGAGAGCCCCTCCTGCGTGAGCCTGATCTCTATCTGCACAGCTTTTTCCCTGTCCCACTTTTCTGGCCTGAAGATTACAAGAATCTGTGTCCATGGAAAGGATTAGTGTCTGCAGGAAATCTGCCCAAAGCCAACTCACAGTGTAAACTAGAGACAGTTACTGATAAGGTGAGGGTGACTCAGTCTATGGCATCAGGAAACAGCTCACTTAAAATGTAACAAATGTAAAATGATCTGTAACCTGGAAGTTTTAACTTCAGAAAGTCTGTTAAAATGAGAGGAGATCATATATTGATAATAGTATGACAAGTACAAACAGATGTAACCCACACAAGGCATGAAGCAGAATTTCCCTGGCCTGCTTGGTTTTCAATCCTCAATCCACAACTGCCTGATCTTTACAGCTGAAGCTGTAATCTGACCTTGGCCACTAGGACTTCTCGGGCAAGGAGTTAAGGCCCCCTTGTCTGAGGACCCGTGACAGATTCACTTTGCTGTCCACACAGTCTCGAGGGGCACCATGTATGGTGGTTCTGGATTCAAAGTGTCTGGGTTCAAATCCTGACTTCATCATTTATCAGCCCATGGCTTTTGGCAACTCATTTAGCTTTCTGCTGCCTTGGCTTCCTCATCTATAAAATGGGTATGATAGTTGTGGTGAGGATTACATGAGCTAAGATACATAGGATCATGTGGTGGAGTGCCTGGCATTTAGTAACTGTTCAGTAAAAGTGAGCTGTTCTTAATACCGTCATCAGCCAGGCTTCTGCCTTCATCACCTTTACTATAATTTTATCTCAGGACCCACGTCCACATCTGGATCCTCTGAGCCTCAAATATGTCTGGCCTGGATCCTCTCCTACATGCTAACTGGCAGCTCACGTGGCATCCTGTGAGTCCTTGCTGGGGAGCACACAGGGCCTGGCCAGGGCTCCTGGTCATCTCCTGCAGCATCTTCTTGTGCTCACCACGGGCTGGATACCACAGGCAACCTGCTGGGCTCAGCTGCCTTTGGGCAACTGGAGGTGGATTTGCTGCCTCAGCACCTGACCCCCCACTGTGGGTCCGATGCCACATGAAGCCCCCCCTTCCTCAGGAGGTAACTGGGCCAGGCTCAGATATAAAGAACTTATTGGTGACCTGGGGCAGGGGGCCCTGAATGATCCCTCACATGTGACTGGTTGGCTTGGCAGATGCATGTGGATGGAGTAGGAGCATTAGTGGGGCATTAAGATATACCATATGATTATAAACTACAAGCACATGTAAAGTTGGCAAAGGGCCAAAGTGTTTGAAAGGGCTCAGTAATGATCCATTTTTATTACACAAATATTACATATTTATTGCAGAAAAATTAGTGTAATACACCAAAAGCTTTCTTTTCTTTGTGAAAAGAAAAAATCTATAACCCACCTTCCAGAGGTAATGCTTTTAACCTTTCTTTTTCTATGTGTGTGCATACACACACACACACACAATCACTTAACACTTTTTTTCACTTAATGGGTTGTGGACTACTTTCCATGTCATGAAATATACATTTATATCATCAAGTACTGAGCAATTCGGAATGATTCTACAGATGCATTGGTTCATGGTCTAGCCTCTTGGCATATTTTGCTAATGGAAGAGAAAGGGGTTAAGCAGCCTGGCTGGGTTTTTGTGGTCTGTAGCTTCCAATGCTGATAACTGCCACCAGACTAATTCAGGGTGGCTTCTGGCTGGAGCCTCACTGCCGAGCAGCTTGGCTTTCCATAGGTGTGGTTATTTGAGGAACAGGACATTTGCCCACTTGTTCTGGTCTGTTTCCATTATGAAAAAAATGCAACCCAGTAGCTCATCTCTCGTTTCTGATTAGGGCCAGAGTGGGTGGTCAGGCTCTGGGCTCTGTCCCTCTGTCACAGTGACCTCTAGCCAGCTGTGCCTCTTCTCCAGGCCTCAGTGTCTTCATCGATAAAGTGAAGGGTTGGGTCTGATTGTCACTGCTCCAACACTGTGATTGCCTGTTAACTAACCAGAGTAAGACTGAGGCTTGGGGGTGGCCTTTCATTGCTGCTGTGGTCCGGTGCCAGGCTGGCTGGGCCAGAATCAGCGAGGCAGTGCCTCAAGCATATATTCGTGGGCCCTTTCCCTCCCTTCCTACTGGGGTGAGGCCTGGAATCTATATTTTTAAAAGATCTTATTTATTTATTTATTTGAGAGAAAGATAGAGAACATGAGCTGGGGAAGGAGCAGAGGGAGAAGGAGAGAATGTCAAGCAGACTCCGCACTCAGCACAGAGCCCGATGTGGGGCTCGATCTCACGACCCTGAGATCATGACCTGACCTGAAATGAAGAGTAAGATGCTTAACCAACTGAGCCACCCCGGCACCCAAGAAAATCTGTATTTTTAACAAATCACTTAGTGGTTCTTCCTCTCAAGTCACCCAACTGTTCATATCCTCGTCAAGCTCTGGTTCTGGCCTAAGGGTTGTCAAAAACATCTCAGTGCCAAATCCTTTATGGAGACAGCTGGTGTTGCTGGACGCCTACACGGTTCTGGCTTGGGGGCCACCAGCAGCCTGGCTTCCAGTGCCCAAGGAGACAGCCTTCCCCGGCCTGTTGGCTTCTCACTGATTGTCAGAGCTCAGCCCACCCTGTCCGTCCACTGGGCCTTTTTTCCCCACCAGTTTCTACCACATTCTGCTTCCCATAGCTTCCTGCTCCATATGCTTTGGTTCAGGCTGTAGCAGGGTTATGACCACCCAGGAGTTTGTACCAGCAGCCTCGCCTGAATGTCCTTTATCACACAAGAGATGCTTTTCCTTCCACCTGGTTTTATTCCTCCCTTCGTTCCTTCCTCTTCAAAAGACCTGGTGTTTCTGATATATACCATAGATTTCTTTATAAATTCTTCAGGACTTTGAGCTACCTTATTAGCAGTTTATTCCAGAGACTTCTTATACACAGGGTTTTTAATATTTAAGGGGCCAGATTCCTTTTCCTCTGATTATTAAAACACACACACACACATACCCCACACTTAAATAAGAGTATACTTAGGTTTTAAAAAGTTAGATCATGCTTTATCCATGATTTGAATTAGAGATTCTGATCTTATTATTATATTTCATATTTATTTCATGTCACATTTATAAATAAGAAAGAGATAAACCACAGGGAGCTGGATATTTTCTTTGAGTCATTTAGTATATCAGAATTACCTGGATAATTTGATAAAATATAGATTCCTGGACCTCATCCCAGACTTACTGACCATCCTTGGGGGAGGGACCCAGGACTTTGCATTTCCCGTGAGATCTCTGGGTGATTCTTTTGCATGCTAAAGGCTGGGAGCTGTGGCATTAGATGGTGGAGAGAATTTAGACAAGATGGGAAGGACACTGAAATGCAGCCTGGTGGCCACCAGACCACTTAGCCCTAACTCCAGCCTCTGCCCTCACTGGCTGTGTGGGTTCTTCTGTGCCTCAGTTTGCTCATCTGTGAAAAATCTGCAAAACTATCAGAGTGGCCTCATTGGTCACTGTGAGGATTAAAGTGTAATATGAGGATTAGTAAGTGTAATATGTTTAAAGCATCACCTGCGCATGGTAAGGATTCTGTACATGTTTGCTGTGAATATTATCCCATGTCTGGGAATGGCACGAACAAAGTCAAACAGATGGAAATGGATGGCCTTTGTGGGGGAGGCGAGCAGACCAATTTGTCAGGAGCAGAAGGTTTCGGTTAGTGGTTTTCAAATTATGGTGCAAAAACTTAACCTGGGGAGCTTGTTAAAATTTTAGTGTCCTTCCAAAGATTCTGATTTAGTAAACTTGGAATGAAGCCTTGAGATCTGCATTTTAAATTTTTGATGCAGGTGATCCGCACAGTTTCAGAAACACTGCTTTTGGTGGAGAAGGATTGGCATTTAAAGTTGGAGAGGTCTTCTGGGACGGGACTAGAGCTATGAAAAGATGCAGACACTAACTGCATATTTAATATCTGTTTTATTAGGTGTGTCCAGAAAGCAGTAGAAGCATCCGGGAGGTCCAGTGCGCATCCTACAACAACAAGCCGTTCATGGGCCGCTTCTATGAATGGGAACCATTTGCAGAAGGTAAGACTAGACCCAGCCCTGTCCAGAGGAATTATTCTTGTCTGTTCCCCAACCCTGTTCCCTTCTGCCTGATGCTGGAGGAATTGGTGTGATCCTGATTCAAGCGGCAATAGGGAGCAAAGTATGGCCCCAGGATGCAGGAGAGCCTGCAGGTAGTCTAGCTCAGAGGCATTGATAGAAAAGAGCAGCATCTGAGGATCACCGGGTGAGGGGGACAGAACAGCGTTTGAGGAACTGGGGGGAGCGAGACGTTCAAACCAAGGTTGTGAGGATTGAGTGGGGACAGTTTCCCTTTTCCTTGGTTCCTGCTCCAGCCTTGTGTGGTGGCTTCAGAGGACATGTAGGGTTGTAAAGTTGCCAGTTGTGTGTGTGTGTGTGTGTGTGTGTGTAGGGGGCCGGGCCTCACATGCTGTTTCCAAAGCTGAAATGCCATAGGTAGGCATTGGTATCAAGGTTCCTGCCATTTCAAAATCGCAGCAGGTCTGATTTTGAAAGAACTTGGTAATACTGCTCTGGATCCCAGAGTCACTTTTCTTAGTTGAAACCAAAGTGATGACATGCCTTTTGAACAGAGAAGTATTGAATTCCGGGAGATTCCTTCCATCCCAGAGAAAGTGGTCTCCAAAGAGGGGAAGGGTCAACCAAAACTTGGGGCATTAAATACTGGTGGCCAAGTTGGCCAGAAGTGGAGAGTCCAGCCACTCTCAGTGTCCACTGTCGGCCCAAGGCAGTGGCTGGGACCCCGGTATTGGCCAAAACCCAGAGTGCAAAGTACTGTGGTCACGTCTAGGAGCTGGAGAATATGTCCTGGGAGAGGGCTTCATAGTGATTTCATCACAAAACCCATGCCTGGGGAAGCCAAACTGTGGGAAGTCGGGTCTCAGTGGGGACCCTGGAGGAAGAGGGAGGCATTGATTGCTGCTCTGAAATTGGATGCAAGATGGTTTTTGTCTGTATATTTTCTTCAGAGGAGAATCTGTAGCTTCTTGCAGATTCTCAAAGTGGTCCCATGACCTCAAAACTGTTAAGAACTAACTTGACTAAAAAATTGGGGTTACCAGATCCAAACAGGAAGGAAGAAGAGATGAAACATAGTCAGTTGGACACAAATGTGAGGCTGGCTGGGAGGCTAGAGGGCAAGCTCAGGAGGGATGCCTAAAGTGAAGTTTTGATGCCATGAATCAGAGCTTGGCTGTGGCCCTTTTCATCCTAAAAAGCATTGTGTTAAATCCAAATCCTGATTTGGATCCCAGAACAGGAAAAGGGCATGGGTGGGATACCTGGTGAAAGATGCTTGAAGTATATAGTTACATCAACAGTATTGTCCTTGTGTGACTGTCTTAGTTTTTATAAGTGTACCATGGTTTTATAGGATGTTAACATTAGGGGAAGCTGGGTGAAGAGCATACAGGAACTCTGTGTACTATCTTTGCAACCATTCTAGAAGTCTAAAATGATTCCAAAATAAAAACATGTTTTAAAAGGCATTGTGCTCCCAGTTAGCTAGATCTTATATGCATTCTGATGAAGATAAAATCTAAGATTTGCTTTATATGGGTGAGTAAGAGTGTCCCGGATTGAAACCTTGTGCTTCCTGGAACCTCAGAAGGTGTCCCTATCTAGAGACAGGGTTACTGCAGATGGAAGGTGTTGAGGTCCTACCAGAGTAGGGTGGCTCTTAATCGAGTAGGACTGATGATCTTATAAGAAGAAAGGACACAGACTTCCAGGGAGAGCGCCAAGTGACAATGAAGGGAGAGATTGGAGTACTGTGTCCACGAACCAAGTAACACCAAGGATTGCCAGCAACCACTAGAAGTTAGAAGAGGCAAGAAAGGATCCTGGCATAGCACATGGCCTGCCAACATCTTGCTTTTGGACTTCTAGCCTCTAGAACTAAATTTCGGAGTGTATATTTCTGTTGTTTTAAGCCGCCAACTTTGTGGTATTTTGTCATGCAGCCTTAGGAAACTCGTAGAAAGAGGAAAGAACTAGGTTCTGGATTGACTGAGGTCTGCCCACGTGAGTAGATCAGAAAGTGGGGGTGGTCTGAGCAGTAGCAGGGGTTGCCCAGAGAAGTGAGGCACGAATCTACAGTAAGTGAGCATTTGACAGATCCAGGTCTACCTGAGTCTGTGGTTCTCAGCCCTAGCTGCTCGTTAGAATCATCAAGGAACCTTCTGGAAATACTGACGTCTGGGCCCCGCTCCCAGAGATTGTGATTTCATGGTCTAGGAGGCAGCCTGGGCAACAGGATTTTTCTAAAGATCCCAAGTGATTCTAATGGGTAGCTGGGGTCAAGAACCTCTAATCCCAGGAGAAGGCAGGACCCCATAAGCGGTGGTGGCTCTAGCCTAAGTTAAGAGACAGAATCGTGGCTGCGTTTATAAACTGTGAGATACATTGTTGTGTCAGAACAATGGTGGTTCTCAGTGAACATTTGGAGAAGTAACCCAGGCCTTTGTCTGAGCCACACCCTTGCATATTTATTGGGGTGGATAATAGCTGCTTTATTGGGATTACCTGGGAGGAAGGGCGAATTCTTCCAGCGATGAATACTCCATTGTTTTGCCTGGAGTTGAAGCGTATGGCTGGACCTTGTCTGCATAGTTTGGGCTGGTCATCCACCATCCATGTCTGTCCAAGGCCCCCTGCTCCTGTCAGGCCCTCATAGATTCGGGTCTCGTGTCCAAAGCCCTGTGTATTGCAAAGAACTCTTGTGCTAAAGTTTTCATGTATTAACAGCTATGCTCTCTGCACATCTACTATCGTCTGGTTTATGTTTGATTCTGCCTCTTCTGTTCTTTGGTTTGCCTTGATTTGTGCTGGACTTGAAGTGTGAGGCCTGTGAGATTTTTTTTTAATACTTGCTTTAACGTATGTAGACAGAGAGAGAATAGGTCGATAGTATAATAATAAGGTCCTTATACTTACCACTTAGTTTCAACAGTTATCAGCTCATGGCTGATCTTTTTTCTATATACCCCACCCTCTCTTCCCCACCCAGATTATGGGGAACTATTTGAATTCACATTATATGGCACTATTCCTTGGTAGATATATTAACTAGAAGTCTTGGTTGTGAATGACAGAAACCCAGTGGAAAGTGGGGATTGGGACACAGAAAAACAGATTCTTCAAAAATCGTTATATACTTCTTGATCATAAGCCATAAGATTTTGAGAACCAACTAGAATTGTGGTATTTTACAAAGTAAAGGAAAATGCAAAATAGCAGCAGTTTAGAGAAATCAACTACTGTCTACGATGTGTTACTCGGTCTAGAAGATTCAGCATTCTTTGAAAATATTTATCGACATTAATATGTCTCAGGTGCCCAGGAGAGGAGGAGCCCATGGTCCCTGATATTGTATTTACTTTGACTTTGTTTCCATGGTTCTTTCTGCTGCTAAGATTGTTTTCTTGATTTTGTCCTTCTTCCTCTTAAATGACTCCCAGGCTGACCTGCGGGAGGAAGACGCTCTTCATGCTTCTGTAGGGTGTTCAGGCTTCCCGGCTGGATTTTGCATTGGGCTCTTGGTTTTGTTTGGACACCTAGTGCTATTCGCATGCCCCTGCTTAGAGAAACAGCTGTACCCACTCAGTCCAATGCCACATAGAATAGTAAAAGCAGAGTACACTCTGATAAACACATTCATTTTACCACATGCCTCATCTTCGGCCTTTAATCACATTTCCTGGATATGGCTTTCTCTCCTGAGATAATGCCTCTAGGCATTTTTCTCATACCCCCTAGACCTAAGACTGTAGAGATGATGGCGTCGGAATTAGGGTGTCCACACATTTCTGTGTGCCCCAGACAGCAAAGGTTTATGCCTGTCGCCCAGTCCCCTTTCACTCTCAAGACCATTTTGGACAATAAATTATGCCCTGGCCTAGCTGGCATGGGCCGCATTAATAGGAAGACTCTGGTGTAGGTGCTGACAGTGGGGAACATGGTACCTGTTTTCATGCCTAGGCCACTGGGCCTGGGTAGCATTAGAGGCCAGGCTTTTGCTGGGTCCCTGTGGGCTACCCGTAGGTATCAGTCTTCATCCATGAATCAGGAGACAGCTTGGTGTGTGGGTAGCTTAAGTCTATTTTGTGGCCCTGAGGGCTGAACTCAACAGAGGGGAAATCTAAAAGCCAGAGGTGGGGCGGAGTTAGAAGTTGGAGGTTGCTGACCGGTCATATGAGCAGGCTGTGCTATCCCTTAGTATTGCCTAGATTATGCGGCAGTAACAAAGAACCCCCCAGTCCCAATGACTTCACGAAGCCAAGGTTGTCTCTTGCTTGTGCTACCTGTGTAACGGAGTATGTGTTCTGCTCATTCGGAGCCCCAGGCTAACAGAGGTTGCCTATCACCTTATGCTCCCATGGAGGCGGGGACAGGGGAGAAGTGAATCACCATGGATTCTTAAAGCTTCCGCCAGAAGCCATCCCTGTTGTTTCTGCTCCCATCTCATTGGCCAAAGCAAGTTTCCTGTCACACTGAACTTCAAGGGCAGCAGGGAGGTGCCATCCTGCCACGTGCTCAGAGGAGGAGAAATGAAATATCCGCAACCTGCCCTCATGACTAGCACAGGCAGGAAGCTGCGACAAAATCCCTCGAGTGCCTTCTTTAGACATCCAGGGGACTTTGATCAGGCTGCTTGCAAGACTAGATTTTGCTCCAGGGAAATTAAAGGTGCCACACAGCCTCTCATGGGCACAGGGCCCCGAGCCATTGAGCTCAAGTTCTTCCCCTTGAGTAAAGCTCAGAGGCACAGAGATGGAACGGTGCCACCCAGGTGCCCAGCTGTGCTCTTGCTTCCTCCGCTAGCCCCGGAGGCTGCCCTGGCACGGACATCACGTTCAGGCATGGGACAAGGGCTGCCAGCTAAAAACACTCACAGTGTTATCAAAACTGTGGGACATGAGGCGGGAAGGCTTGGGACCAAGTCCTGCTGGACCCGGGATGAGGATGCTCATGTTTTAATCAAGCAGCTTCATTCCCAGGTA